GGCCAGAGTAGCGGTCGGCCAGTGTTGGTGACATCTATTGTCTTATCCAGGGAGGAACTTTTAGGCCAGGCCAGAGGGAAAGAGGCTACCACGGGGGCAGAGCAGGGGGGTAGATATTCAGGACAGGTGGGATCTGGCAATGTTTATCTTCCAGATACGGCTCTAACACTTGACCAAGGGATAGGCAGAGAGGAGTGACTCAGAGAGTAAATGGTCCTGACCTTCCATCACGTCCCAGACTGACCTCCCACACAGGACCATTTGTAAACAACCCGAGGGAACAACAGTTCCTTGTAGATTCTGTAAATGCAATTAAGGCTGTGCTAAAGACAGAGAGGTTCACAGTGTGGCCGAGGGCAGGGAGCAGTCAGATAGGACTGGTCGGTCGGGAAGCTGGGGCAGGGGCTGAGCCCCAGCCTGTGTGGGTTTTCTCATCAAAGCCTGTCGTTGATTCAGGGCCTGGGTGCCGGGCCGTGTGTGTCTTGCGCATTCTCCGGGAGGCAGTCCAGTGAGGATACGTGGAGAAGGGGCCGCAGGATAGGACAGACCCTGGCTCGAATCCTAGTACGGCTCCCTGTTAGCCTTGTGAGTTTAAGTTGATTGCTTCTCTACTGTGAGCCTCAGTTTCTTCATCCGTAGAAGGGGCAGTGATTGTACCTTCCTTACCCTGGGGGGTATGAGGATTGAATGAGACCGCCTTCATAAATAAAGCACTGAGCACCATATTTTATTTTATTTATTATTATTATTACTTTATTTTATTAATTTATTATTATAATTTATTTTATTATAATTATAGATTTGTTTTTAATTTATTATTTATTTATTTTTATTACTATATTTTTATTATTAAATTAACCTCTGTTAGTGAAAACCATTCTCCCCCTCCCTGCACCCTCCTTGCTTTTCTATGGCCACAGACCTGGTCCCAGACACATTTGATACTGAAGTGCCCCTGCTGGGCCTCACTTGGTTAACAAGAACCGCTGGGTCCCACACATGAAAACACCCACAGCCTTGGCCATCAATGTCCCACCACCCTCCCTCCCACCTTCTCTGATGGGGCAGGAACAGAGATGTGATTGAGAGCCTTGGATCCTGACATAAGGCAAGATACACTCTGAGATGACTCACTGTTCCCTCAGAAGGACTAGCCGGGCCATCCGAAAGGAGGTCTGCACCCAGAACTGGGCACCCACGAGGTCTCCTTGAAGGGTCTGCGGAGGAATCTGTGTCCCAGTGGCCTCGGGCAGCTGCATTACTGGTCAGTGTGTGCGTGTGTGTGCGTATGTGTGTGTGTTTGCACGCACACATGCAGGTTTCCGTAGTAACCTGTCAGGAGCCCCTCCAGACGTATGGGTACCAGCAGCAGGTTGGTGCGTGGGGATCCTGCGGGCTTTGAAGTTGGCAGGGCCCGGTACATAGGCCGGCTCTGCGTCTTCCAGACCGTGTAAGCAGGGAGAGACAGCTTTAGAGCCCCAAACCTTGGGGTCCTCATCTGATCCAGGGGAGAGGAAAACCTATTTTACATGGCATTTGCTAATTAAATCAAAGCATGGATTAAAAAAGAAAATGCCTGGTCAAAGGTCTTGGCACTTAGCGGGCACTTGGGTAGAGGCATCTGTCATTTTTGTGCATGTTGGTCCAACGGAGGATGTGTCCACAGGCAGGGTTTAGCTTATCCAGTAATTATGCCATGCGTCTCTCACTAAGTGATCCTGGATCAATGGCTACCTATTTGTCTCTCTTTTCTGTTTTTAAAATGAATTTTAAGAAAACATAATTGGTGAGTCTTCTCAGCTTGACATCGGTGGGGATAGAAGCAGGTTTAGGCAAATGCTTCATAAAACTCTTTATGATGGGGTAGGGAATGGTGGGCGGTGGGGGACAGGTGCCTGTCCTTGGGAGTAGCAGTGAGGGGCAGGGGCTGGGGGGAGACTTCCATTCCGTATTCTCATATGGGTCCAAATTTATTTTTATAGAAAGAATTTTTTCTTGTTTTGAGCTCCAGAGCCACCTGTCTCCGAGTTCAGCAAATATTTGCTAATACCCACGAAAATACTAAGAGCTATCATTTATCGAGCACTGAGAGCACTTTCCATACTTAACCTCAAACCCTCAGCTCCCTTGGGAAAAGCTACCTCATTTTACAAATGAGCAAACCAAGCTGGGAGAAGTTCAGTCATTTGCTTCAGCACTTCCACTGGCAAAGGTGAGAAAAAGCAGACAATTTATATCTGGGAGAAGTAGAAGAGGATATGAAAAAGACCCCAAACAGCCTCTACCCTCAAGGACCCGACAATGGACATGGAAGGTTGACTGCTTCCGAGACACGTGCTCTGGTGATGCTTCTTTGCAGAGTGTAGCCGGGGGAGCAGAGGACCGATGGCTAACTCTGGCTAGGGCAGCGGGGAGCCTTCCCAGGGGCGGCTGGGCCCAATCCTGAAGGATGTGTTCATTTTGGAGGGGGAGCTGGCAGGGGAATATGGCCACTGGGCGTGTTCAGCGAGGTCAGGAAGGAAGAAAGGTTGACCGGTATGAGGAGGTCAGGCCGAGCCACACACGGCTCCTTGGGAGTCCCGAGGATCTGGGCTTCGGGAGGAAGGGACAGACAAGAGCTATGGGCTTTTAGGCAGGGCCCCATGGCTTAAAGGAGAGCAGAGAAAGTGAAGGCAAAGAGGGCCATTCTGAGGCCGAGGCCCCCATGGGGTGGGGCAGGCCGCAGCAACCAGGGCCCCCAGCCTGGGTGCAGATGACCTGCCCCCAGTGGAGGTGCCCTGACCCATTTCCATCAGGAGCTGGGCGGTGGAGGGCTGTGGCCCGAGGTGGGACGTCTCAGGAGACGCCCGCTGTGGGGACCTGGGCAGCCTGGCCACTGGCAGCAAAGACCGGGAATGACGGGGCCGGGGGGGGGGGGGGGGGGCGGAGTGGTCTGTTGTCACAGCAGCTTGGCAGAGGTTCGCGTGAGGAGCAGAGGGGCTGGCAAGAGAGGCTGGAAACAGTGAAGGGTTTTCCCTGCCAGCAGTTCAAATGTGGGCACTGGGAGGTGATTGTTTTTTTGAGCCCGAGAATGCTGTGATCAAACCTGCAGTCTCTGTCTGCCTCTCTCTCACTAGAATGTGAGCTTCTGGAGGCAAGGAGTCTGTCTTGCATTTCACTAGCATGTTCCCAGCATCTAGCCCAGCGTCAGTCACTTAGTAGGTGCTCAATTAGTATTTGGCTAGTAAATATCTGGAACCATGATCTTCCAGTGTTTATGGGTATATACAGATGTGGTAAACCTTTTAAAACTTTGATGAAAAGAATACACACTAACGGCCAAGGTAGTGGTTACTTCGGGGGAGGGAGGAAATGAGGTAGAAGTAGAGTAGAAAAAGGATTTCAACTGACTCTTGCTTTTCTTCCTTAATAAAGAAGAACTGAAGAGAATACGATCATGAACATTTGTTCAGTCTGAGTGCTGAGTATATGGGCTCTTATTACATCATTATTTGTAATTTAAAAATACTTATTTTAAAAAGAAAACAAATTGGGTGCCTGGGTGGCTCAGTCAGTTGAGCACCTGCCTTAGGTTCGGGTTATAATCTCAGGGTCCTGGGATCGAGCCCCACATCGGGCTTCCTGCTCAGGGGGGCAGCCTGTTTCTCCCTCTCTCTCTACCCCTCCCCCTGCTTGTGCATGCTCTCTCTCTCTCTCAAATAAATATATAAAATATTTTTTTAAAAAATTGTGTACAAATATCGTGTTAGGTGTATAGGACATCTCTTCTCCGGAAGATGGAGTCACCACCACGAAGCCTATGTCTTCTTAGCATTACAAATAGGCCTGGATAATTCTTTTCCTGGCGACGATCCTTCACAGGCCTATAAACTGTAATAAAAGTACTGTTCTGAAGTAGAGAAACCTCGTTGGTGTCCCTCCTCTTCTTGATGCCTGTCGTTCAGAGCAAGGGTGGATGCTACCGTACGCTCAGAATATACTTCTTGGGGGAGGATCTTGACACTTGTTCCTGGTGGCGTGACATCGTATTAACCGGGAACCCCCTGGCTCACTCCTCAAGTGTAAGATTGCAGGCTTGTGAATTTGGATTCCTGCCCCCGTCCGGGAAAGAAGCTATACTGGGCACTCAGAACCTGTGTTTGGGTCCGAGCTCTATGTGTTCCTTGCTGTGTGACTTTTGTCCCTTCACTCAGCCACTCTGAGCCTCAGTTTGCTCAGCAGTAAAATGTGATGACTGAGAAGATTAACGGGTGAGTTGATACGGTGTGTGAAGGTGCCTGTGACAGAGCCTGGTGCCTGGCGGACGCTCAGCATGCAGGGTCTGTCTTCCCACTGAGGGCTTTGTGCAGCCTGGCCTTTGTTCTCTGTCCTGCCATCCCAAACCATGTCCATCCCTCAAGGCCCGTGCAAATTTAGCTTTTCCTTGAAACCATTCTTCACAGCCCAGGGATGGCTTATGTCCCTGACTGCTTAATAGCATAGTTAAATTTTCCATCTGCTTGCTTATTTATTTATTTACGTTTGCCTCGTTGGATTGTAAAGCTTCTGAAAGCAGAAGCATCATTTCAGGCATCATTGTGAGATGCTGACAGTCCTACCAGCACGGGAGATGGATGTCCTGGGTTAAATTCAAACTTGGGGCTCCATGAGGCGTTAGGGACTTCAGTTTCATCAGTAAAACGACCATCATAGCCTCCCTCACACAGTTTCTAGGAGATCAGTTTAGACATTCTGGGTGAAACCTAGTTAGGAAAAACTTAATAAATATCGTTGAATTAATTTATACTGCTGTGAACAAGGAAGTTCTTTACAAACGTCAGACATTATTTTTAATTCTCCACAGCAGCTAGCAAAAGGCCCTGTATTTACTTGCCGTGAAGAAAAGCCGCCTGCTTGACTCTTCTCTAGTCATCCAAGTAAAGACCAAAAGAGGCATCATACAGACATTGTAAAGCTCACTCTGGTGTTAAATGAAATTTCGTCTTTGTTCTTGCCAGGATCGAGATGACCACAGCCACCCCTTTGCGGGGTACTACCTTCTTCTCCTTGAACGTGACCACCAGAGAAGAAGACTTCCTGTACAAGAGTAAGGCCAACTTGGGTCGGCGGCCAGGGGAGGGATGGCGGAACGAGGACTGTGGTCAGCTCCTGGTGTAGAGGTCAAGAGCGTGGCTTCTAGAGATAAGACTGCCTGGGTCCCAGTTTCACTGCTACCATATGCCCACTGTGACCGTGAGCACATCACCTCACTGCTTTGTGTCTGTTTCCTCATCTGTAAGCTGGGGATATGAATGAAACTACCATTAACATCACACACTTTAATGGTGTGAGGACTAAACCAGATGATCCATGTAAGGAGCTTAGAATAGCCTCGATGCACACAAACTACCTAATGAGTATTATTATGATCATTACTGGTATGACTACTATTATCATCAGGGAGTTTGGGGTTCTAGAGGGCAACAGACAGTTGAATCTCCTGTAAGATGTCCCTAAATGAATCACCTTAGAATGTAACTACTTTCATACGATTCGTACTATTTTTGCAAGGCAAAAACATCCCATCAGTTCACAAAGGAGTAAATGAGTGTAGGTGGGAGTAGTCCTGGGGAGACATTTGCCAGGAGCAAGGGGTCCCGGAAGGAAAAACTTAACAACCACTCTTCAGAAAACCAATTAATCGTGTTAGGGGAAGTTGGGCCCATTTCCGTCATTTCTGTTGGTCTGGCACATACCCATGCACGTGGAATAGGCTTCCTGACACGGAGTGTTTCCCCAGTGATAACAGCTCCAGACCGCGGTCCTGGCAGGAAGCCAACTACTGACAAGACGTGTGTCTTCGTGGAGACCCAGAAAGGGTCACTCTTGGGACAGAGACCCGTGTGTCAGCCTGCTCCTTGCCAGGTTGGGAGACCTCCAGAGGCCTGCTGACGTAGCTCAGAACAGTTCTGAAGGGAAATGCAGGGTAGATCGAATCTCCGTCAGCAGGATGGGAATAATTCTACTTTTACTTAACTAAAAGTAGTGGTTCTCAACCAGACGATTCTGCCCCCTAGAGAAGATGGCCAGATTTTGAAAATAAAATATAGAACACCCGGTTAAATTTGAATTTAAGGGAAGTAGTGTTTGTTTAGTATAAGGACGTGCCATGCAATAGTTGAGACATCCCAAAAATTATTCATTATTTGTCAGAAATTCTAATTTAAATAGGTATCCGGTACCTTGTCTGGCCACTTTACTATCAGGGGACATATGACAGCGTTTGGACACTGTTGCTTGTCACACCTGGTGGGGAGGAAGAAGCAGTATGAATGATATCTAGTGAGTGGAGGCCAGAGACGCTGCTAAACGTTGTACAGGGCACAGGAGAGTCCCCACAGCAAAGGGTTATCCAGACAAGGTTACAAAACCATGGATTAAAGCATCATCACAGGACTCCCCAGGAAGGAGACAAAAAACAAGTTATTCCATAATGGATTCCCCACCCCACCCCCTTTTTCTTTCCTTCCAGTCTTTCTTCCTGTGACTATTTGGACATAGTTTTGTTCTTGTTTTTATTTAGTCAACCTCTTTGTGAGAGCATTACATACATTCAAAAAAATGCACAAATCATAGTGCACAGCTGGATGAATTTTCACTAAATGAACATAGTTGGGTAACCAGCCCGCAGATCAAGAAGCAGACCACCTCTAGGATCCCAGGCGTCCCAGCACCCCTTGCCACACTATCCCCACCTGGTCAAGGGAACCCGCTGTTCTGACTTCTCCTATCAGACATTAGTTCTACCTGGTTTTGAGCTTTATAGAAATGGAAACATACCGTACATGCCCTTTTATATCTGGCTTCTTTTATTCAACATTATGTTTGTATGCACATACTTTAACGGCTGCAACATACTGTGTATATGTGGGTGTGTACATAATATCATACTCTCTTTTCCACAAATCATTCAAACTATAGGGCAATATTTCATGAGGTAGGCATGCCATACCTTATTGAACCATTCCCGTGTTTAGAATATAAATAACATTGTAATTAACATTTTCATTCATACAGCTTTTTCTGTATTTAGGATTATTCCCTAAGATAACACCCCAGAATCAAATAGATTGGCTTAAAGTATGACCCGCCCCATATGGTTTTTTTGTATTTTCAATTTCAATTCCCACAAGGATGTTGATTTTGAACGTGGAATTAGAGGTGGCCAAGGAGATTGAGTGCTGATACTGAAATTAGAACCTGAGATACTAAGCCACAAAGACATTCATTATAGCCTTGTTTTTCATAGCATAAAATTGAAAACAACATACATATCCTCAATACGGAATTGGTAAACAATTTATGTCACATCCAAACAATGGGGGACTACATAGCCATCAAAGTCATGAAAAACAATGTAATGACATGGAAAGATGATTGGGATATGGTTGTAAAACTGCATGTTCCATTTTTATCAAGTGCATATTTTCCCACTTTTATGACTATTTCCTTAAGGTGGATTTTCAGACATAGGATTAATAAATTACTCAAAAAATGTGGAGTAGATAGGTATTTAATACGCATACATGTGTATACATGATGACATTGGTGAAAGTACGTATGTGTAGATGATCAGTGGTTCCTGGGGCAATGAGTTCCTTTTTTTTTTTTTTTTTGTATTTTATTTTCAAAATCAGCTATAAAATTACATATTACTTTGTATCATCACAAAGAGGCAAGGGCGTTTTGCTTGCCTGTTTCACAAAGGAAGTTGGATGCTGTGTTAGGACTGATAACAACAGGATGGCCTGAGACAGGATTTGGGCAGGTGATGTGCTGAGGACACCGCCCTCCAAGCCCCCCTGTGGGGAGGGGTGCCCCGCCACTCTGGATATGTCTCTGTCCTGGGGTCAGCAGGCAGAGTGCCGGGACAGCACACCCTCTCCTCGCCCAAGCCAGTGAGGATGGGAGGTGCGGGGTGGAGGTCCCCCTCCCAGTCTCTGGATGCTTCCCTTCATTTCAGTTTATACGTTTGCCATTCCCACCCCTCTCCTCGTAGGTTCTGGAGCCATTGTTGCGGCCATTGTGGTAGTTGTCATCATCATCTTCACCGTGGTTCTGATCCTGCTGAAGATATACAACAGGTACGGGATGCCCTGGGCTCTGAGGCTCTTGTCCCTTCGGTGATGTCAGAATGAACGCAAACTAACTCTTTGGGGGTGCCAGCCGCGTGCCCCGCAGGACCCATGAGGCCGTCGTCCAATGCTCGGACCCTCTGTGGGTCCTTTTTTGACATCTGTTCTCCTGTAGGAACTTCATGGTAACCAAATATTTTTGTACCTGCAGAGATAGTTGTTAAATATAATAATCATCATGACAGTGCTAATGACCTTGAGCACTGCGGTAAGGTGACGTACGGTCATAGAGGAATATGTTCCAGTCCTTTAATCTCGGGGAGCCCTCTGCTAGGCTGTGTTGAGCAGACCACGTGAGTATTTGAGGTGACAAATACTGGGATGCCTGTACCCCCAGCTCCGCTTTCTGGAACCAAATAGGAGGAAATAATACCATGTGATTGCATAAAGAATAAATGTTGTGTTACCACCTCTAAGTCACAACTTCTTCCCAGGCAAGAAATCAAAATAGACTATAAACACAACCACATCATAGAAGACTTGGAAGCCATTAAAAAAAAAAAAAAGATATTGCAGGAGTGTGTTTATTGATGAGGAAAGCTGTTTACAATGTATCGGCAAAGTTTACAAAGAGCATATGTACATTATAGTTATACACGTGGTTACACACACACACAACCAAGGAAGATTCAAATGCTACATGGCAAGGTGTTAACAACCAGTGTGTCTGCATGATGGAATTGCTGGTTGCTTGGTTGGTTTTTACAGGGGGACCCCTGTGTGTCTTTATTTTGAGGAGGTGCAAACATGCATTGTTTTTATAATAATGTTAATGTTATTTGTAAAACTTGTATGTTTCATATTATATATGTATCTAAAATGTATATATAATGTACACATATATTATATACATATATTGATCTCTTACCATGTGCCAGGCATGATTCTAAGCTCCTTGTATGTATTAACTCATTTAATCCTCACTACAACCCCACCAGTTGGGTAATTCTATATCCCCCAATTTTGTAGGAGTGAAACACGCACTGGGAAATAAGCCAACAACCCCAAGTTTACTCAGCCTCGGTGGCAGAGTTGGGATTTAAACCCAGTACACGTGGTTTCAAAGAAAATACTCCCACCACTATGTGTAATAATAACAACAACACTTAATAAGTTATTTTTACAATTTTGAGGGTATTACAATTTGGATCCGTCCCAAACCAGGAAGTGGCATCCAACCATAGTGTCTGCCCTTCATCCCTGTCCATCATTGCTGGAGCTCTGAGCCCCTTTCCTAGGTTGTAATTTGGATGGAGACTACCCACCCCACCCTGTTTACAATGATGCCTGGGCTGCAACTGAGAGACCAGAGCTCGGTCTTTTGTCTCTCAAAGGCAGGCAAGTTTTTTAACCTCTCTGTGCCTCCATTTTGTCATCTTTAAAATGGAAGGCTCTCCAAGTGGGACAACTGCGTGATGGTTGCATGGGGAATACCCTTGTTTTGAGGAGTATTTAGGGGTGAAGTGGCATGACGTCTGCAACTGACTGAGGTAGTTCAGGATTTAAAAAAACACTCTGTGTATATGTATGTGTGTAGATGTACACATGTGTAAAGAGAGAGAGAAAGAGGCAAATGTGGCAGACTGCTGGTAATCAGTGAATTGTTCCATGAGGGGTACTCAGGTACTAATTGTACTATTTGTGCAACTTTTCTGAGCATTTGAAATGAAAAAAAAAAAAGCATTATGTTAGGTCAACAAGATGAAATTTCATGTAGATGTTAGAATTAATGATTGGTATAGTCATTGAATTTTCTGGCATATGAAAGGAAAGATTGGATATACATTTTAAGTCCATTCTCTTCTCAACTATGCAAAAAGTTCTTAAATATTTCTAACAATCAACTTGGCAAGCATAATGAAACTGCAAAATTTAACTCACACTACAACTTTGAACAGAAAAAAAAAAATCATAGTATCTTCATTTCGTCTTTAATATAGTCACCTGACACTTTACTCATTCATTAACAGGAAAAAATAAAATAAAATTAAATATCTAACCTAAGTTACACAAAAAAATGGAAGGGTCAGGCTAGCTGATGTCTAAGGTTCCTTCCAGTTGTAAAATTCTGTGGGTGGCAATCAAGCAACATGATTTAATGATGATCTACGTTAATCTCCTTGCCAGAGCCAAAATCATAGGGTATAGAAGGTGGAAGACTCAAGCATGCATGCATATCTCATTCCAGGAAAATGAGGACCAGGCGGGAGCTGGAGCCCAAGGGGCCCAAGCCAGCCTCCCCTTCTGCCTTGGGCCCGAACAACAACAGCAGTCAACACCCTGCAACCGTGACCTTCAGCCCCGTTGACGTCCACGTGGAGACTCGGTGACCACCCCCCCCACCTTGGTGCTATCTTGGCCACCATCCAAAAAGCCTTCTCCAGTCAAGACCCAGAAGCACATATCTCCTCTGGCAGCTTCACTATGAGTTCCTTCCGGTTGGGTCGACAAGGGGCATCTCATGCAAGTCTGGATGCTTCAGGCAACCCCCAACCCTGCCCTGCCCCGCCCCACCCTAGCTGTGTCCATGTCCCTGCTGCCACCCTTCCAAAAAGCTGTGGGACATTGTTTGTGCTCTGATGAGGTAGAGCTATGCCGGCAATCCACTGAAGTGGGTGTGGCTCTCTCGCCCAAACACAATTGCTAGACAGACAGCCCAGGAATCTTCTGGGCAGGAGTCAGGGGTCAGAGCATGCTCCCAAGAGTATCACTGCAGAGTCTGCCACTGCGGTCCTATAGGAATCAGTGCTGTAGCCACAGCTTTGCAGAGCAAAATACTCAATGCCGTTCATCGGGCACAGGGGAACTAACTTGGGCTAACTAACCAAAAAACCAACCCGTTAATTTATAACTTGTTCCTGTACTAGATGACTGCTAGCTAGCTCATGACAACCAGTCAGCAGATTTCTCCGTCTTTAAGAAAGGTAATGGGAAAGACAATTCTTCTCGAAAGGTTTCTACTTCATTAGCAAAGAGTCAGAGGACAAGGAATAGGGTGACCTTGAGGAATGATGGCCTCTAGGGCAAAAGCTTATTGCGGTGTCCTCGGGCCTTGAATGAGCCAGGAGCGGGTCAGAGCCCGTCCTCTCCCTTTGGGGCTGGATTAAGCCTAACTCAGTCTCATTTCTTGGCTTCCCTCTGTTTGGATTCTGAGCAGTCCCCTCTCTCCAGGTCACATCTCCCCTCCAAGGACCAGTATTAGAGACGGATAAGATTACAACCCTGTTTATGTTACCTGTGTCCTTCCCGGTGACCTTGCAGAGATCCAGGGCACATGTAAAGCACCACGTTCGCAAACCATTTCTCTGTACGGAGCTGATCTCTTTGACTCCTTAGCCCAGAGAACAATCTATTGAGAAGGAAAAGCATTTTGAAATTAAGAAGGCTTGCCTTCCAAGCCCTACCTCCTGGTCGTGTGGCCTTGGAAGAGTCACGTGGGCGCTCCATATTGGGTTTGCTAACCATAAGACTCACAGACTTGACTTTAATTAGTCAAGGACTTGGTAGGTAGAGCCGCTCGGGTGGTACCTGGCACTCAGCAAATGCTTAATTCATGAGAGCCAGCATTATTGTTACAGTATTTCTTCAATTGCAGGACGTATTTGTTCACATGTTAAATGATTCTGAAATCAGAATTTGTCTTAAAATTGATGGGTCCATTAATGTAGTATTTTTTTCTCTCTCCAAAAGCTGTCATGTACCTTACAGTTGAAGGCATCTTGGAAACAAGGCAATAAATCTTTACTCTGTTGCAGAAAGTGACACACTCTGACCTTTAACCTCAAATTCTAGGGGTCTCTTCCTCTTGGAGGCAGAAATCTCTTCTGAGGGGAAACTGAGGGTCAGGAAGGTAAGAAGGCTGACCCAGGGTCACAGAGCCATGTCATCCCACTATAAAAATGCTCGCTTGGATATGTCTGGAAAAATACTGGTAAATTCTTCCTGCCCAAACATCTTTTCTCCCTACTGTGTTTAAATATCCACCATGTACCAGGTACTTGGCAAGATGCTTTCACATAAATAAGCTCATCAGATATTTTTCCCAATAACCTTGGGAGGAATTATTTGTTCTGTTTGCAGGTGAGAATTGCAAATTCCAAGAGAAAGGTACTTGTCCACAGTCACACAGCTAGTTAAGTTGCAAAGATAAGACGCAAACCCACATTTTTGACTCCAAAGTCCCACTCTCCGTTGTACCACATTCTTCCCTAACATCCTGGCTCAAAGAACATGGATTCTTTCATGGGCCGAACAGGAGGAGGACCGGCTTGTCCACGTGTCTGCGCAGAGGTCAGGAGTCTGGCTTCCAAACTGACAGTAGGGGCAAAGCCACTTTGGTAGCCTCCTTTGGGCTCCCATGATTGAAGCCAAAGGACCCCTTTCTGAGCCCATCAAAGCTCTAAGGATTCCTGTTTCATTTCCCATAACCCTTATGCCCAAGGAGCAAGGGATAGAGTGCCATCCAACCAGGGAAAGCTATTTCCTGACGGCCTCAAACCCCAAATAGATATGTTTCCCAAAAGTGTTCTGCTTTAAAAAAAAAAAAAAAATATATATATATATATATATATATATATATTTTGTTTGTTTGTTTGTTTGGAATGTTCCAGCCCTAAAACCAAACTCTTCTGCCCATACTGGAATCTTCCTGGAATTACTAGAGGAATTATCCCTTGTTATGTGTTCTTTTGCTCAATGAAAGCTTGGAAGTGGAGGACGGGGGAGAGGCAGAGAGGTAAGGGGAGCCCAAGAAAGGGGTTTTAGTGTTTCGTTTTTTAGCTAAAGGAGATAACTCAATAAGCATCCTTTAAGGGCTCCTGTGTGCAAGTTGAAGTGCTACTAAACATATTGTCACGGTCCCCACTCTCAAGGAATCTGCCACCGGTCTCCTGGGACAGGGATCTTGCAACACAGTGGAGTACTTCATTTCTGACAGGTGCCTTTCCTAACTGAGCAGATGCCACCTTATTTGGCCACTGATTCAATAAAAGATATTAAACATCTAAAGAAAAATGTCTAGGGGCGCCTGGGTGGCTCAGTCGTTAAGCATCTGCCTTCGGCTCAGGTCATGATCCCAGAGTCCTGGGATCGAGCCCCGCGTTGGGCTCCCTGCTCTGCGGGAAGCCTGCTTCTCCCTCTCCCTCTCCCCCTGCTTGTGATCCTGCTCTCACTGTGTCTCTCTCTGTCAAATAAATAAATAAAATCTTAAAAAAAAGAAAAATGTCTAAAAATAAAGAAACTTAAACATTCATTGAGTTGACTTCAGTTTAAGTTAGAGTCAACGAATACCTTTTCTAAGAATTTCCTTTCCCTAACAATGTAAATAGGGTCCTTCGGAGAAGCCTGAGCTGTTGCAAACACTGTATTCTCACTGCTAAAGGGTGATGGGAAAGGTGGGCTGCCGGCAACGGGCCTTTCCATGAGTGAGAAAACCTGTCACCTTGATGAACTATTACAAAAGGAATCCCATTTCAGAGCCGGTCGTTAAACACCAGACGCGCTGATATGTCGAGGTGTGGGGACCTCTGGGAGTGAAGGAGACATTAGAATGCAACCCAAGTCACCAATAATGAAGTTTACCGTAACTGAGCTCCTCGTGTGTTCTAGGTGTATGATGGGTCTTTGCTACCCACCAGCTCCTCAAACCGTTACAACCCCCACGTGTAGGAGCCATCGCTATTTCTACTTTGGGAATGAGGAAACAGGCACGGGGAGGTAACACGTCATTGGGTAATGCAGTGGACAGGTGGCATTCTTGGGGTGGCCATTCTTGTGTCTGGGGAGTCTGCTACTTAAGAAGCAAGACCACCTCTTGCTATCAAAGCTGAAAAGGACAGACACTCATCTTCCTGGAGTCCCTTGCTGCTAGGGCGAGGGCAGAGGACCGAGGCCCTGCCGATCAGGCACCCCTACTGGGGACTCTGAAGCCAGAAGTTGGTAACATCAGGGGATAGGAACGGTGCAGAATACACTCGGGTGGCAGAAAGGTGGCTCACTGCCTTTCGAGAGGCAGCCACAGCAGGGTCTCCAGCAGCACGGCAGGCCCATTCCTGAGTCCAGCCCTGGATCCGCAGGGTTGGCTATGGGAGCTCAGTTTGACAGCAACAGCCGTGGGGTCTGGACCCAACTGGCTCTTTAGTGCGATTTTAGGCACCATATATGACAGCAAAACACTGAGCCTTCTGGAAATACCAGCAACTACCTCGTTCCATTTTCTGCTTCAATCAGCAGTCACTTCCTGCCGCCAGTACCTAGGGGCTGTGTGGATGTGGGGGCCTTGCTCATGGCCGCCCACCTCGGAAGTGGCTGGCACCGGAACCCGGGTCTCCAAAGCTCTCGCTCCGTCCTCGCACATACTGCTGGCTGATGCTAAGTGATCAAGGGATCCACAAAGTGCTATGGAATCAGACAGAAGCTGGAGTGGCCTCCAATGACGTGTATCTCAGAGACTTTGTGAATGTTAATGAGGAAGTATTTTAAAAGGACCTGGAAGAATGGGGAGGATTTTTTTAAGTAAAGTCTTCTATTGGAGTACAACACACACACACATACACACACACACGCATATGTGTGCAGTTTGCAAAATGTTCACAAACTGAGCTCACTTGTGTAACCAGTATGAAGATGAAGAAAGGACATTACCAGCATCCTAAAAGCTCCTTTCCTCCCCCTTCCCTCCTCATGTCCCACAAAAGGTAACCAGCGTCCTGACTCCTACCTCCCTAGAACACTTTTATCTGGAAGTAGAATCGTGTGTAAACTCTTTTGCTTCTGGCTTCTGTCGCACAACATGGCGTTTGTAATATTTGTTCATATTGTCACATGTAGTTGAAGATCATTCATGCTCATTGTGGTCATCTTCGTCACGTGATGCATTTTGTTTATCCACTCTACTGTTTGATGCACATAGAAGTTGTTCCCAGTTTGGGTCTGTAACAGGTAGGACTGCTAAGAACAGTTCGGTGGCTCAGTTGGTTGGGCGACTGCCTTCGGCTCGGGTCATGATCCTGGAGTCCCGGGATTGAGTCCCGCGTCGGGCTCCCTGCTCAGCAGGGAGTCTGCTTCTCCCTCTGACCCTCCCCCATCTCATGCTCTCTCTCTTTCAAATAAATAGATAAAAATCTTTAAAAAAAAAAAAAAAAGAACAGTTTGGTGGTCATGTATGTATTTCTGTGGGGAACATTACCAGTTGAGGAATATACAGAGTATATGGATATAGGCCTTCGTCAGCAGTGCCAAATAAAATTGCACCAACTTACATCCGCTGCCCCCCCAGTAGCATAAGGGAGTTCATCTTGCTCTACATTCTTCGCTGACACTAGGGTATTTTCAGAATCTTGAATTTCAGTCATTCTGATGTGCCCACAGTGGTCTCTCATGATGGTTTTAATTGAATTCCCTGATGATTAGTGGAACTGGTCCCTTTCTCGTATGTTTTTTTGTTTTGTTTTTAAAGATTTTATTTATTTATTTGAGAGAGGGAACATGAGCGGGAGGGGGAGGGGCAGAGGGAAAGGGAGAAGCAGACTCCCCGCTGAGCAGGGAGCCCTACACGGGGCTCCATTCCAGGACCCTGAGATCATGACCTGAGCCAAAGGCAGACACTTAACCGACTGAGCCACGCAGGTGCCCCTCCCTTTTTGTATGTTTATTGGCCCTTTAATTTTATCTTTTGTAAAGTTACTTTTCCATTTGTCCCTTTTTTTGGTTTTGGTTGTCTTCCTTTTTCATTATTGACTTGTAGGAGTTTTATATACATTCTGGATATGTCTTTTGTCTTTGTTATCCTGTGGCTTATCTTTATTTTAATAACAGCTTTATTGAGATATAATTTACATGACATCAGGTTTACCCTTTAAAAATATACAAGTCAGTGGTTGTTAGTACACGCATGGAGCTATGCATCCATCACCACTAATCAAATTCCAGAACATTTTCATCATCCCCAGAAGAAACTCCATACCCATTAGCAGATACTTCCCATAGCCATCCCCCTCCCCAGACCCTGACAACCACTAATTTACGTTTTGCCTATGGATTTTCCTATTCTGGACATTTCATATTAATGGAGTCAGACAATATGTGGCCTTTTATGACTGGTCCCTTTCACTTAGCGTAATGTTTTCAAGGTTCATCTATGTTGTAGCCTGAAATAATACTCCCTTCCTTCTTGTGGATGAATATCATGCCATTATATGGCTATACCACAGTTTATCTAGCTGATGGACATTTGGATTGTTTCTACTTTTTTTTGCTATTATGAATAATGCTGTGGTGAACATTCATGTACAAGTTTGGTGTAGACATACGTTTCAGTTCTCTTGGGCATGTACCTTAGTAATGGAATCACTGCATTATATGATAACTCTGTGTAATCTGTTTTTTTTTTTTTAATTTAATTTGGCAGAGAGAGAGAGCACAAGCAGGGGAAGCTGCAGGCAGAGGGAGAAGTAGGCTCCCCACTGAACAAGGAGCCCGATGTGGGACTTGATCCCAGGACCCCAGGATCATGACCTGAGCCAAAGGCAGCCACTTAACCCACTGAGCCACCCAGGCATCCCTAACTCTGTGTAATCTTTTGAGAAAATGCCAAACTGTTTTCTGAAGTGGGGAGACCATTTTACATTTCCACTAGCAATATATGAGGGTTCCAACAGCTCCACATCCTTGCTAACATTTTATTGTCCATCTTTTTTATCACAGCCATATTTGTGGTTATATAATGGTATCTCATTATGATTTCTATTTGAATTTGCCTAGTG